TTAATCTTATTTTATGTAAAAATTATATTTTATAAAGTCATTTTTAGATTAACCTAGGATGTGTCAATACTTTGAATGTTGTGTGGTAGAATGAAAAAAATCTGAACGTTATTATGAGTTTAGGAAAGTCAAGTTAACACCATCTATGTGGAAAAAATTTTTTTTTCAAAAAGTTAAAGTCCTTGCAAGGAATATGTAGACTATCTTACATTGATAGTTGTATGTTTCCCATACTTAAAAGTTGCTTGAGATCCTGCAGAGGGCTGATTAGGTGTTTGAGACCTTTGTATTTTTTTTTTCCATTAATAGTATTTTTCTTAAAATGTGATACACAATGTTCTGATGATTATTTAAAGTTAATTTATGTTGTAGTTCTATGAATTAAGCAAACCATTGATATAGAGTGTTGTAGAATAGTATTTTATTTTTATTATTTTGGGGCGGGGGGACAGAGCCTCGCTCTGTTGCTTAGGCTGGAGTGCAGTGGTGCAATCTCAGCTCACTGCAACCTCCGCCTCCTGGGTTCAAGCAATTATCCTCCCTCAGCCTCCCAAGTAGCTGAGATTATAGGTGCCCACCACCACACCCAGCTAATTTTTTGTAGTTTTAGTAGAGACAGGGTTTCACCATGTTAGCCAGGATAGCCTCGGTCTCCTGACCTTGTGATTTGCCCACCTCAGCTTCCCAAAGTGCTGGGATTACAGACATGAGCCACCACACCTGGCTAGAATAGCCTTTTGAAATGCTTTCTTAGTAAGTAGAGAAGACTGTAGTAACCAGTCTTCATTAAACATTAAATAGGATCCTTACAAATCTCTAATAAAATGTCATGATATCAGGAATTATTACTGAGACCCAGCCTTTGGCTTTAAAATTTGAGGTCAAATAAAGAATATGAGTCACACAATGCAAGCCATGATAATGCAACAAGTATAAAAGAGATAAATCACAGTGAGGTTGAAGTTGAAAGACAATAATTTCCTATTTGAATTTTTAAAGAAATAATTGAAGAGGCAAGGTGTGTTTTCAGTGTTTTTTAAATGAGTAAGTTTCCCCCTGGGAGAATATTGAGAATAATAGACATTTCTTGGAAGAAGAAAATATAAGCAAAATTGAATACACAGAAAAGCATAAATATGACTGGAAACATAGAAAAGTCCACTTTGGTTAAAACATACAGTCTGCAGAGAATGAAGGCAGAAAAAAAAAAAAGTAAGACGATCTCTTGATTTCTGAGCAATAGACTAAATGACCCTGAGTGATTAAGGAATTTGACTGTTAAACTTCTTCAAGAAAAATAAATTATGGCTTTTTAAAGAAGGCTGAATGGGAAGACAAAATGAGAAACTACTGCAATAATCAAGGACAGAAGCAACTATTAAAAGCACCTCTTAGGTTGTTATCAGTGGAAATACGAAACAAAAGATAAGTATGCAAAAACATCAATGACACGATAAACTGTCACGATATTGCCTTTAGGCTTGTGATACACTAAAATCTAGATTTAATTAGTCTACTTGCACGTTGGAATAAGATAGTAAAATTCACAAGAGAACTTTCTAGAACCTAGGCAGAAGAAGAATCCCAAGAAATTGTCCTGAGTACTAAGGATGAGCAATAATAAAATTAAAATATATTATATAAAATATATTTGTATTATATGTTAATATAATACAAACTATATTGGAGATTACAAAGAAGAGACTATTCATAAATGATAAAGCTTGGAAAGAATCAAAGCAACATATTTCTGGAAACAGATTATATAAATGTTACAAAAGAGAAAAATGTATTTTCTCCCCACACAATGCAAGACCTTAAAGTCAATTCTCGCTTTTTAAAAAATATTTTCTACCATTTCAAATCATAGAATTACTCAAGAAAACTACCTCAGTTGGTTCCTCCTTTTTCTTGATTCCTCTTTTTTTTTTTTTTTAACATGGCCTAGTTACTTTTTCATCAGTAGATTTCTGGGCTCCTATATTCACTAGAGCTTGCAACTCCTAGATTTTTCTTACTTCGGAATCCATTTTGAGCCATATGGGAGTCTCTGAATTCCAGAACAAAAGAATTTTGTAACTTAAAATTTGTGATTGCTCAATGGAATTATTTTAATTGTTACTCCATTTCTGTCGTTATTTAAAACTTACATGGAGAATTTTCTCAGAAATGAGAAAACCACAAGAATACTAAACTTTTAGAGGCAGTCGGTCTGCTAAGAAGGCTCCAGCAAGAGAAACGGGATCTTCTGTTTCAACAATGATTACTTAAGAAAAAGTTAAGAGAATGAAATAAGTTTCGCAGAATAATTATAAAATTTTTATTCATGAAATATGCACTTACACTTTGGGCCACGTGATGTCACTCTTTGCCGCGATGTTCTCTCTGAATCCAGACAAATACAGCCCTTTTCCCAGGGAAAGAGACTCCATTCTTTTTCACTCTCTCTGTGCCAAACAATGGCGAACACAGGAGAACGGGACTGACGAAATCAGACGATTTTTTCTAATTTGGAGGCAATTTTCACCAATTAGAAAAGACCGAGTATTTGAAATGTTGTACTCAAGTCGAGGAGACCCAGAGGCTCCGCATCTACTGCTCTCGTTTACGATCCTCGCGATCTGGAAGGTGGGGAGCGGCCAGGTCCACTACTCCGTCCTGGAGGAAGCCAAACACGGCACCTTCGTGGGCCGCATTGCGCAGGACCTGGGGCTGGAGCTGGCGGAGCTGGTGCCGCGCCTGTTCCAGTTGGATTTCAAGGGCCGCGGGGACCTTCTGGAGGTAAATCGGCAGAACGGCATCTTGTTTGTGAATTCTCGGATCGACCGCGAGGAGCTGTGCGGGCGGAGCGCGGAGTGCAGCATCCACCTGGAGGTGATCGTGGACAGGCCGCTGCAGGTTTTCCATGTGGACGTGGAGGTGAGGGACATTAACGACAACCCGCCCTTGTTCCCAGCGACACAAAAGAATCTGTTCATCGCGGAATCCAGGCCGATTGACTCTCGGTTTCCACTAGAGGGCGCGTCCGATGCAGATATCGGGGAGAACGCCCTGCTCTCTTACAGACTGACCCCCAATGAATATTTCTCTCTGGACGTGCCAACCAGCAACCAGCAGGTAAAACCTCTTGGACTTGTATTACGGAAACCTCTAGACAGAGAAGAAACTCCGGAGCTTCATTTATTGCTTACAGCCACCGATGGAGGCAAGCCTGAACTGACTGGCACCGTTCAGTTACTCGTCACAGTGCTGGACGTCAATGACAATGCCCCAGTGTTCGACAGAACCCTCTATACGGTGAAATTACCAGAAAACGTTTCTATCGGAACGCTGGTGATTAACCCCAATGCCTCAGATTTAGACGAAGGCTTGAATGGGGATATTATTTACTCCTTCTCCAGTGATGTTTCACCAGATATAAAATCCAAGTTCCACATGGACCCCGTAAGCGGAGCAATCACAGTGATAGGACATATGGATTTTGAGGAAAGTAGAGCACACAAGATCCCGGTAGAGGCTGTGGATAAAGGTTTCCCACCACTGGCTGGCCATTGTACAGTTCTTGTGGAAGTTGTGGATGTTAATGACAATGCTCCACAGTTGACTATCAAAACCCTGTCGGTTCCCGTAAAAGAGGACGCACAACTAGGTACAGTTATTGCCCTGATCAGTGTGACTGACGTAGACGCGGATACCAACGGGCAGGTGACCTGCTCCCTGACGCCCTATGTCCCCTTCAAGCTAGTGTCCACCTTCAAGAATTACTATTCGTTGGTGCTGGACAGTGCCCTGGACCGCGAGACCGTGTCGGCCTATGAGCTGGTGGTGACTGCGCGGGACGGGGGCTCCCCTTCGCTGTGGGCCACGGCCAGCGTGTCCGTGGAGGTGGCCGACGTGAACGACAACGCGCCGACGTTCGCGCAGCCCGAGTACACGGTGTTCGTGAAGGAGAACAACCCGCCGGGCTGCCACATCTTCACTGTGTCAGCGCAGGACGCTGACGCGCAGGAGAACGCGCTGGTGTCCTACTCGCTGGTGGAGCGGCGGGTGGGCGATCGCGCGCTGTCGAGCTACGTGTCGGTGCACGCGGAGAGCGGCAAGGTGTACGCGCTACAGCCGCTGGACCACGAGGAGCTGGAGCTGCTGCAGTTCCAGGTGAGCGCGCGCGACGCGGGCGTGCCGCCTCTGGGCAGCAACGTGACGCTGCAGGTGTTCGTGCTGGATGAGAACGACAACGCCCCGGTGCTGCTGGAATCTCGGAGGAGTGGCACTGGCGGCGGCGCAGTGAGCGAGCTGGTCCTGCGGTCGGTGGGCGCCGGCGAGGTGGTGGGGAAAGTGCGCGCAGTGGACGCAGACTCAGGCTACAATGCGTGGCTTTCATACGAGCTGCAGCCGGAAGCGGTCAACACGCGCATCCCATTCCGCGTGGGGATGTACACGGGCGAGATCAGCACGACACGAGCCCTAGAGGAGACGGATGCACCGCGCCAGCGCCTCCTAGTGCTGGTGAAAGACCACGGGGAGCCGGCGCTGACGGCCACTGCTACCGTTCTGGTGTCGCTGGTGGAGAGCGGCCAGGCACCAAAGGCATCGTCGCGAGGGTCAGTGGGTGCCACTGGCCCCGATGTGTCGCTGGTGGATGTCAACGTGTATCTGATCATCGCCATCTGCGCGGTATCCAGTCTGCTGGTGCTCACCCTGCTGCTGTACACGGCGCTGCGGTGCTCAGCGCTGCCCACGGAGGGCGAGTGCGCGCCGGGCAAGCCCACGCTTGTGTGCTCCAGCGCGGTGGGGAGTTGGTCTTACTCGCAGCAGAGGAGGCAGAGAGTGTGCGCTGGCGAGGGTTCACCGAAGACAGACCTCATGGCCTTCAGCCCGGGCCTTTCTCCTTGTGCTGGATCTACAGAGCGAACCGGAGAACCCTCTGCTTCTTTAGATTCATCTGGGAAGGTAGGTTGTTTTATTTGATTGAAGTATTTTATTTTTTATATAATTATTTATTTTTCCTAGAAAGATATTTTAAATTACTCCCAGTAATTTGAATAGTTTTATTCATTTTTTCTAGAAATTCATTGATTTCCTTTTTTTCTTTTCTTTTCTTTTTTTTTTTTGAGACGGAGTGTCAATCTGTCGCCAGGCTGGAGTGCAGTGGTGTGATCTCGGCTCACTGCAACCTCTGCCTCCCGGGTTCAAGCGATTGCACTACAGGCCCACACCACCACGGCCCAGCTAATTTTTGTGTTTTTAGTAAAGACAGGGTTTCACCAAGTTGGCCAGGATGGTCTGGATCTCTTGACCTCGTGATCTGCCCGCCTGGGCCTCCCAAAGTGCTGGTGTGAGCCACTGCACCCGGCCCGAATTTTTTCTTATAAAGTGAACCCCTTAACATTGGAGCCGATTTTGCCTTGACTTCTAGTGAGAATCATAAACCGTATATTAAATAGATATTTATTGGGTAAGGAATTAATTTTATTTAAATTTTTGATGAAAGCGACATTAAATTTCTGATACTGTGCTGCTATAGCACCTGGAAACCAATTTAATTGTTAGTCATTCATTAAAAATTAACATCACTATCATTTATTAATTTCTAAATTTTGTATAGTATTTTAAGTCTACTTGTATTGTTTATAAGAAACCCAAGCAAAAACATATAGCAATTGTTACTTTGTTAATGTTTTAGTTCTCTACATTTTTCCGGATGGAGAGCATGTAAACATTGGATTGTTCAGCACCCCTCAGTATCTATTATTTTAATAAGGAACTTCCACTAAACTTTAGAAAACAGTTGTTCCACTTTAGGAATAAAATTATATCAATAAATGTTATAAACACAGCCTTCATTTCAACTTGTATAAAATATGTTCTTAAATGTCCGACAATGTAGGTTATAGGGAAATGTTGATTGAAATTGTGTCTACACTTAGAAATTTTTTGAATTTCAGTCGTTTACTGAAATTAGAGAAAATACTTTTTAACAAGTGTTTTCTTTCTTCAAGAAGACATTCTCCTTTTAATTGAAATTTTCTCCCATTAGTGATAAAATGAGCGATGTAAAGATTTCAAACTTTGAGTTATCTTAAAATTCATAGTCTGTAACTTAAAAAAATTACCCTTACCAATTTAGATAATAATTAACTTTTTCAGTCAGTAATCCATAAGACAGAAATGTTTTTTAAAAATCTTTTTTCTCCTCTCGGCTCATACCTAACACAAGGCAGAAATCTGGATATGAGATTTGCACCTTTAATGCCACTACCTATTATATTTCCTGAATTGTAGTATGTGACTTTCCAAAATGGCGGTTCCCCGCACTCTACCTTTAGTGCAAGCTATTTGTTTGTTTTCTAATTTATATTTTTAAAAACTTCACTGCCAGGCGCGGTGGCTCACGCCTGTAATCGCAGCACTTTGGGAGGCCGAGGCGGGTGGATCACGAGGTCAAGAGATCGAGACCATCCTGGTCAACATGGTGAAACCCCGTCTCTACTAAAAATACAAAAAATTAGCTGGGCATGGTGGCGCATGCCTGTAACCCCAGCTACTCAGGAGGCTGAGGCAGGAGAATCGCCTGAACGCAGGAGGTGGAGGTTTTGGTGAGCCGAGATCGCGCCATTGCACTCCAGCCTGGGTAACAAGAGCGAAACTCCGTCTCAAAAAAAAACAAAAAACAAAAAACAAAAAACTTCATTGTTGAGTTTTTGTTATGTGGTTTATATTTTTCTTTCTCTTTCAGCTATTTTATTTAATGTTGTGTCAGATATTTTATAAGCTATGACTTAAAGAACTCAGTGGAGCAAGATCAGAATGGCCTTGAGAATAGAGCCACAATAATAACTATGAAAATGCAAGTAACATTTATTTAAAATAAAATATTTTAATTTTTCCTTAAAACATGTTTGGACCATGCTACATTATATATTTTTTGTCATCTCTCTCTCTCTCTTTATTTTTCTGAGATGGAGTCTTGTTCTCTCACCCGGGCTGGAGTTCAGTGTCACTTAGGCTGGAGTGCGGTGGTGTGATCTCGGCTCACTGAAACCTTGGCCTCCCAGGTTCAAGCAATTCTCCCACCTCAGTCTCCTGAGTAGCTAGGATTACAGGCACGTGCCACTGTTCCCCACTGGTTTTTATATTTTTAATGGAGACAGGGTTTCCTCATGTTGGCCAGGTTGGTCTTGAACTCTTGACCTTATGATCTGCCTGCCTTGGCATCCCAAAGTGCTGGGATTACATGCTTGAGACACTGTGCCCAGCCTTTTTTTTTTTTTAATTTTCTTTGAAAACTTGAGTGGTCTCTGAGCTCCCATCATTAAACCTATCTATGTCTATCAGCACAACTCACCTTGAATATAGACTTGTACTTTCAAGTGTTTGTCATTGCACTTTTTTCAAGTTTCATGTGCCATTGAAACTTGGGCCCAGGTATTTGACTGTTTGTATGAATAGAGGGATGCTATAGATGTCATTTTTCCTCCGCCCATGTCCTCCAGTCTCTTAGAGCTAGTACTTATGAAGCATTTACTATGTCATCAGTAATCATAAAATTTATTCCTTATTATTTATGGCTGTGTTGGTACGATTGGTAATTTAGTCCTTCATATTAATCTTTATTTTCTCTCAGAGTATGGGCTCTCATCATATGCAAATTATCGGAGGAGCTGTGAACACCTTAGTAATAAATTTATCTTTTGAGGTCATTAGTAAACATTAACTCACTGGGATCCAGAGAGGGTAAAATTTAAAACAGGCTGGCAAGTTCAAAACAGAGAGGTGAGAGCAGAAGACACTTTCCTATTTTGCATAATAGCTCTCCTTATATGCTTCTGTAGTTAACATTCCTCAACTCAAGTCAGAATGATGAAACAATAATGAAGCTCCTCCTATGTCGGTTCATTTCAAGTTTTAGTTACTATATAGGGAAAACTAAATTATCACCCAATATCTTAGACACTTCGAGAGAAAAGGGGCCATTGTAAATATGTATACAAGTTCACAGACCTAAGTTGAGCCTGTTCCAGACAAATGGGGCCTATGGTCATCCTGTCCTTAGACCTGATAATGCATTAGCAGCACCTAGAGTCCTCGTTGAATGTACTAGTTCAAGACTCCACCTCAGAAATTCTGAAATGGGTAGTATTAGCAAATTGTCATTTTAAAGCACACCTGAGATGATTCTTATACAACTGAAGTTTTAGATCCATAGCCCTATTCGATACTTGACAGTGCAAGTTTCTGTAATTTAAAAAGATGTGGCCTGACACCTGTAGTCCCAAAGTTTGGGAGGCCAAGGTGGGAGGGTCAAAAAAATTAGCTGGGCATGGTGGCACACATCTGTAGTCTCAACTACTCAGGAAGCTGAAGTGGGAGAATTGCTTGAGCCTGGGACAGTGAGGCTGCAGAGAACTGTGACGGCACCACTGTACTTCAACCTGGGTGATAGCAACATTCTGTCACAAAAAAGAAAAAGAGTAACTACACTACTCCCCACTTTTTTATTGGACGTCTACATTGGAATATATATGTTATTACTTGGTATAAAGTGTACATTAGTAGAAATTGAGTTGTTTTTATTATTTTGTGTGTGGAGATGATTGACCAATGGCAAACGTATTTTTACACTCCAGTTAGCTGAAACAGAACATTGATATTTTGATAGGTAACTCATTACATTTTAATTCAAGGTTTATAAAAAAGTAATCTCTAAAATCAGATTTTGAATGAATGTTGACACAAGAGGCATTCCAAAGGAGTAGAGAAGTATAGAAACAGAATTTAGTAGGACACATAAACTGTTGGATTAAGTGACACCCATTTCTGTCATTTTTCTTTTCATAAATAGTGTTGCTCTGTCATTCAGATTTTAATAAAAAAGTTTAAAGTTATTGACACACTTAAAAATATTCTTTACAAAAGTCATAACATCATTAAATAAATTAACCCTTGTGTAAAACCAAACTTTCTGTTATTAAGTTTTTCTTTCTTGGAAAGATAGAAAACCCATTTTTTTTCAGCAGCACAGATATATAAAATTTTCATTCCTAAATATTTGATTTCAATAACTTTGAGAGAGAAAAAATATTTTTACAGCAAATGATAATGAAAAACTTCATTGACATTGATAACATTTTTAGATACATTTCAGAACTGAGTCTTTTGGGCATTTGAAAAGTGTAAATGTAACAGGGATAAAAGCATTTGTCTCTGAAAACAGAAATAATAAATTTGTTAATTACTTTTTTAGAATCATAATTAAGATTCTTTTTTCCCATGTAAGATATCATAAAATGAAACCTCTCCTTTTATAAAGGATTTTCCAAAAACATTACTTTTCTGTTTTCTTAAATATGGAAAACACCACCGTCAGTCTGCGCAGTAGCAATGATTAAGGCATTGTAGAGTGACCACATTCTATAGGTAATAATTTTGCCTGATGAGCCAGATTTGGAATTAAGCTTCATGAAAACAAATATGGTCAAATTGAGGCCTGAGAATAGTTTCCATTTATGAAGCACTCACTCTCCTTAAGGTGCTGTTGCAAGCACTTAATATATTATAATTCATGCAAACACCATATACTATTAGGCTAGTTATAAAATTGGAACATGAGGCAGGGAGAGTTTAAATGATTTTCACCAAATCACGTAGCTAGTGAATAGGACAATAGGAATCTAAATGGAGAAATGTCTGATGTTGAAGCTAATGATCTCTCTAAGTTCTAGTGAATTTAGAATTTACGAGTTACAAACACCTAGTTGATGCTAGTTGATAGTTGATGCTTGACATTAGTGTCTAAATAAACTTTATTAAATCTCAAAATAATGAGAAAGAGAAGTAAGTTAAGTGTCAGAACTTAAAGGGAACTAAACTTGTTATTTAATAAAATATTGGTATACTCAGTAATATGCAAATATTAAGGGCATGTTGAAATTCAGCTATCGATAATCATGTAGTTAGGGAAGAAATCACTACTCTGAAATTCTACATTTAAGAAAATATTGCACGTGGGATCAACATTATTATCTGTGAAGAGACATAATGTCAGGCTTTGAAAGTCCATAGACATAAAAATACGTAAAAAATTAATATATGAGGGAAAGAAGTTGTAAACTCATGGAATTGTACTTACACCTGAAGCCACCGGATGTCGCTGTCGTCCACAAAATGGTTTTTAAGAACAAAGGCATCATCCAGTTTCTAAAGGACTGAGAAGTAGCTTCACTCTGAGATCACAGCCATTTCGACAGAAAATAGATGTAAGAAAAGGACAGAAAATGTAAAATCGTATGTGCATTCTAGACCGCTGATTCGTCGATTTGTAAAACAGGAGAAGAATAAGATGGTTTCCAGATGTAGCTGCTTGGGGGCCCAGTGTCCGCTGCTCTCGCTTCTTCTCCTCGCATCCTGGGAGGTGGGGAGCGGTCAGCTCCACTACTCCGTCTCGGAGGAAGCCAAACACGGCACCTTCGTGGGCCGCATCGCGCAGGACCTGGGGCTGGAGCTGGCGGAGCTGGTGCCGCGCCTGTTCCGGGTGGCGTCCAAAACACACGGGGACCTTCTGGAGGTAAATCTGCAGAATGGCATTTTGTTTGTGAATTCTCGGATCGACCGCGAGGAGCTGTGCGGGCGGAGCGCGGAGTGTAGCATCCACCTGGAAGTGATCGTGGACAGGCCGTTGCAGGTTTTCCATGTGGATGTGGAAATAAAGGACATTAACGACAATCCGCCCAGGTTCTCCGTAGCAGAACAAAAGCTCTCAATACCTGAATCCAGACTGCTTGACTCTCGATTTCCGCTAGAAGGCGCATCTGATGCGGATGTTGGAGAGAACGCATTGCTTACTTACAAACTCAGTCCAAATGAGTTTTTTATTCTTGATATTATGAACAAAAAAGACAAAGACAAATTCCCAGTGCTTGTTCTGCGGAAACTGCTGGATCGTGAAGAAAATCCTCAGCTAAAGTTGTTATTGACAGCGACCGACGGAGGCAAACCTGAATTTACCGGATCTGTTTCTCTGCTTATCCTGGTGTTAGATGCCAACGATAACGCCCCTATCTTTGATAGACCGGTTTATGAAGTTAAGATGTATGAAAATCAAGTGAACCAAACGTTAGTTATATGGCTCAACGCTTCTGATTCGGATGAAGGAATAAACAAGGAAATGATATATTCATTTAGCTCTTTGGTCCCACCCATGATAAGAAGGAAATTTTGGATAAATGAAACGACGGGAGAAATAAAAGTAAATGATGCTATTGACTTTGAGGATAGTAACACTTATGAAATTCATGTAGATGTTACAGATAAGGGAAATCCACCTATGGTTGGTCACTGCACGGTCCTAGTGGAATTACTGGATGAAAATGATAATTCACCTGAGGTGACTGTCACTTCTCTGTCTCTCCCAGTGAAAGAAGATGCTCAAGTGGGCACCGTCATCGCCCTGATCAGCGTGTCTGACCATGACTCAGGAGCCAACGGACAGGTCACCTGCTCTCTGACGCCCCATGTCCCTTTCAAGCTGGTGTCCACCTACAAGAATTACTACTCGTTGGTGCTGGACAGCGCCCTGGACCGCGAGACCGTGTCGGCCTATGAGCTGGTGGTGACCGCGCGGGACGGGGGCTCCCCTTCGCTGTGGGCCACGGCCAGCGTGTCCGTGGAGGTGGCCGACGTGAACGACAACGCGCCGGCGTTCGCGCAGCCCGAGTACACGGTGTTCGTGAAGGAGAACAACCCGCCGGGCTGCCACATCTTCACTGTGTCGGCGCGGGACGCGGACGCGCAGGAGAACGCGCTGGTGTCCTACGCGCTGGTGGAGCGGCGGGTGGGCAATCGCGCGCTGTCGAGCTACGTGTCGGTGCACGCCGAGAGCGGCAAGGTGTACGCGCTGCAGCCGCTGGACCACGAGGAGCTGGAGCTGCTGCAGTTCCAGGTGAGTGCGCGCGACGCGGGCGTGCCGCCTCTGGGCAGCAACGTGACGCTGCAGGTGTTCGTGCTGGACGAGAACGATAACGCGCCGGCGCTGCTGGCGTCTCCCGCTGGCAGCGCGAACGGTGCAGTCAGTGAGCTGGTGCTGCGTTCGGTGGGTGCTGGCCAAGTGGTGGCGAAGGTGCGCGCAGTGGACGCTGACTCAGGATACAACGCGTGGCTGTCGTATGAATTGCAGTCGGCGGCGGTTGGCGCACGCATTCCATTCCGCGTGGGGCTGTACACGGGCGAGATCAGTACGACGCGCGCTCTGGATGAAGCTGACTCGCCGCGTCAGCGCCTATTGGTGTTGGTGAGGGACCATGGCGAGCCGGCGCTGACGGCCACAGCCACTGTGCTTGTGTCGCTTGTGGAGGGCGGTCAGGCACCCAAGGCCTCGTCGCGAGCGTCAGTGGGCGTGGCGCCCGAGGTGGCCCTGGTGGATGTCAACGTGTACCTGATCATCGCCGTCTGCGCGGTGTCCAGCTTGCTGGTTCTCACGCTGCTGCTGTACACGGCACTGCGGTGCTCGGCGACGCCCACCGAGGGCGCCTGTGGGCCGATGAAGCCCACGCTGGTTTGCTCTAGCGCTGTGGGGAGCTGGTCTTACTCCCAGCAGAAGCGGCAGAGGGTGTGTTCTGGGGAAGGCCCGCCCAAGACGGACCTCATGGCCTTCAGCCCCAGCCTTCCACCTTGCCCAACAGTAGATGTGGAAGCGGAAGATCAGCCTATTGGAGGGGACCACTCTAGGAAGGTGGGTTATTACATTTTCCTTTTCTTTTTGTGGTTTGTGATAATATTTTCTCTTACCGCATTTTCTCAAATATGTATCTCAGAATATTTCATTTTTGTCTATGTACGATTTATGCCTGAATATTTCTAGTGATACTCTTGTAATATAACTTATTCCAGGAGTTGTTTTGAATTTTTTTCTATCCTACCTACTGTGTCAGCTTTTGATTGTTACTTTAATTTTTTTAAATAACAATTTATTCTGAATACACTAATATTTTCCAATACAAATATGTGATGTGGGTTGCAGTTCTGATGATTTACTTTCATAATCACTTTTCGTTACAAATGTTTGTAAGGTTAGTATTTCAATTAATGTTATTTCATTTTCCAATCTAAATTTCTATTTGATTGTATTTGCATTAACAAAAAATTAATATGATTTTTTGTTAATTAACTGATCAATATCTCTTCAGTGAAAATGTGTTTTCTCCCATGTGTAGAATATGTGTAGTGTACCATAGCTTATACTGCCATAGTAGATTTCAGTGTTAAGCGATTACAGTTTTTCCTCAACAGTGCAGTAAGTAGGTGGCAATTTAAAATTTCTTAATCTTAGCAATTAAGTTAAATGCTTTGAACTTTAAAAATGTTTCCATTTTTATTTTGGTTGCAGTGGTACCCTGTCAGTGTGTATTACTCACTTTACTTAGCAGAAGAAAGTGTGTGTTTTAGTTATTTACATAATTCTATCCAGCAGTTACCTGCTCCTTTAGCATTAGGCATTGCTTATGACGTTCAGGTATTAACTCTTCCACTTTGAGGAAGGAGTCATGCTTATGTTTAATAAGGAAGAGCATTTGAACACTTTTTAATTTTGAGATTGAAAATACTTTATTACTAATTAATATTAAAAGTTTGAGGAGAAAATTAAATTAATATTTTCTACTGATCTATTAAATTGTAAAGTTTAATTTAATAGCTTCTCTAGTCCCAAGACCTAAAAAAAAAAGAAAAAAAATAGCTTCTCTAGTCATCTTAAACAGGGTTGGGTTGTATGATATAGACCCAGAAATGAAAGCTAATTTACTTGCCTAGTGACAAAGCTGCACTATTGATTGTGTTTTTCTGAAATTGGTTGTTACCTGATACTCATGATTTCATTTATAAAAAAAATTAATAAAAAAACTTTATTAATTCTAGTGTTACCAAACACCAACGCCATGAATTTATCATCTTGCCTACAGCTCTTAGCAATTACTTTTTCTTTCCTTTCCCTTTGAATATGGAGACTGAATTTGTTACTCATATGCACTTCATAAATAGCTTAAAATAGAAGTTAAAATTATTGTTCAAGTTTAGGAACATCAAAAGAGACAATTGTGGCAAGAATTTAAACAGGGCATTATTTCAGTCTTAATACATTCCATGCCCTGTCTCCAGCTCTTAGAAATTATAGATGCCAAATTAATGCAGCATTTAGAAACAATATAATATTTGTTATATCAAAATAGGTTTATGAAATATATACTTTGTCTGATATTTGGAAAAAATCTTCCTGAATATCATATTATAAGTAATATATAAAATTTAGTAAAAACTCATACCAGTCATAAAAGCCTCAGGTATACAGATGCATTAATCTCTTCATCAGTACTAATTTAAGGCCAGGCATGGTGGCTCACACCTGTAATCCCAGCATTTTGACAGGCCAAGGTCAGAGGATTGCTTGAGGCCAGGAGTTCAAGATCAACCAGGGCAACATAGGGATACCTTGTACTGAACATATATATGATGGGGTCTCCTTACACACACACACACACACACACGTGTGTGTTTGCATGTGTGTACTCCTTACACATATATATGTGTGTGTGTACTCCTTACATATATGTGTGTGTGTGCGTGTACTTATGTGTATAAGCCAGGCATGGTGGTACATGCCTATAGTTTCTACTGTGGTGCTACTTGGGAGGATGAGGTGGGAGGATCACTTGAGCCCAGGAGGTTGAGGCTGCAGTGACTCTTGCCTGGACAACAAAGTGAGACCCTATTTCAAAAATTGAAAAAGGTAAAGGAAATAATACGCAAGTATCTGGCAAATATGATCTTATTTCATATTCATTCACATGATAATATAGTTGGCGCAGTAGTACTTTCTTTGGGATGTCTACATACAAGATAAAGCTCTTCATAGAATTCCAATTTGTAAGACAAACCTAATTTTGAAGAGGTACTGGACACACACAAGAAGGTATAGGAAAGGACTTGAAAGCTTAAAAAAAGAAAACCCACATAAATGCATATGTAGGAATTAGGAACATGGAAGGTAAGTAAAATAATATGAAATCAAATCCACTTATGTATTAAGCCACTGGATATTGTTGTTCTCCAAGAAAAGTATTTTTTTTTAACAGGTGAAAATCAGATTATTCCTATATCAGAAAGAAGCTCCATTGTTCCTGTGCTTTAAAAACCACAAACACACATTAAGATTATGTGGAACCTCAGGAACAAGGAATCAAAAGATCTCAGAGGAACTATGTCTTTCTAGTCATGAAATACTGTTTTACTAACCGAAAGAGAGTCATGATGTTAGCTGCCAGACTAAGTGGCCGGGAATCCCAGAGCCTACAGCACTGGCTTTTGCTCCTCGAAATTTGTGAGGAGGGGGAGGACCAGCTTCACTATACCATCCTGGAAGAGGCCAAGGATGGCACATGACACTTTCCTGGGCCACATTGTGCAGGACCTGTGTCTGGAGCTGATGGAGCCGGTGCTGTGCTCGTTCTGGGTGGATGCCAAAGGTCATGGGGATCGTCTGGAGGTAAATCTGCAGAATGGCATTTTGTTTGTGGATTCTCGGATCAACCTCGATGAGCTGTGTTGGCGGATCTTGGGAGTGCAGCATCCACCTGGAGGTGGTTGTGGACAGGCTGCTACAGATTTTCCATGTGGAGATGGAAGTGAAAGACATTAAAGACAACCTGCCAGTGTTCTCAGTGACACGAAATAATCTATTTAGAAAACAAGGATTCTTGATTCTTGTTTTTCACTAGAGGGTGTCTGGGATGCAGCGGCAGGGGCCAATGCTCTGCTAATTTACATACTGTACCCCAGTGATTATTTTTCCCGGGAAATGCCAACCAATGAAGAGCCGGTAAAACCACTTGAAGGTGTATTTTAAAAATGCAGAAAGATAAGTCACTTCGGAGTTACTTTTGGTGCTTAAAGCAAGTGATGGAGCAAAGCTGAGCTGACAGGCACCAGTGCATTACATGGCACAGTGCTGGATGTACATGATGATGCCCCAGTGTTTGAAAAAGCAGTTTGTCATGTGAATTTACTGGAAAATGCAAGAGAAGGTACACTGGTTATTTATTTATTTATTTTTGAGACGGAGCCTCTCTCTGTCACCCAGGCTGGAGTGCAGTGATGCAATCTCGGCTCACTGCAACCTCCTCTCCCCGGGTTCAAGCAATTCTCCTGCTTCAGCCTCCCAAGTGGCTGTGATTACAGGTACGTGCCACCATACCCAGCTAATTTTTGTATTTTTAGTAGAGACAGGGTTTCACCATGTTGGCCAGGATGGCCTCGATCTCTTGATGTTGTGATCCACCTGCCTCAGCCTCCCAAAGTGCTGGGATTACAGGTGTGAACCACTGTGCCCACAGGTACACTGGTTATTAGACTTAACTCTTTAAATTTGGACAGGTTTTAAACAGCCACATTGTTTCTTTGCAACTGATGTCTCCCCTAACATCGAAGCCCCTTTTCGCATAGATTCAGACGGTGGAGAAAGAAAAGTAAATGTAAAGATAGGTTCGGAGGAAACTAAATAATGGAAGATTCAAATACAGGCAGTTGACAAAGGCAATTCCCCAATGTTTGCTACTGCACAGACTTGATAGAAGTCTGGGACATCAATGATAGTGTTCCAGAGTTAGCAGTAAGTCATTATCATTCCCTGTACAGGAAGACACTCCACTAGGTACCATCATAGCCCTGATCAGTGTACTTGATGCTAAATTCAGTGTCAAGGGACAGGTGACCCTCACCCTGATGCCTCATGTCCCTTCAAGTTGGTGTCCACCTTCAATAGGCGCTGCCCAGCACCTGTTCGTTGGTGCTCCACAGCGCCCTGGACCAAGAGAGCAAATCTATCAGTTGGTAGCTGCGCAGAACGGGGACTCGTTTTCATTGTTGGCCACAGGCATCGGGTCCGTGCAAGTGGCCGACAGTGAACCATAACACTCTGGCGTTCATGCAGCCGAGTACATGGTGTTCATGAAAAAGGACAACCCACCGGGCTGCCATATTTTCACAGTGTTTGCGCGAGACGGGGATGCTCAGGAGAATGCGCTGGTGTCCTACTCGCTGGTGGAGCGGCGGGTGGGCGAGCGCGCGCTGTCGAGCTAAGTGTGGGTGCGCGCAGAGGGCGGCAGCCGCTGGACCAGGAGGAGCTGGAGCTGCTGCAGTTCCAGGGGAGCGCGCGCGACGTGGGCATGCAGCCTTTGGGCAGCAACGTAAGGCTGCAGGTGTTACTGCAGGAATGACAACTTGGTTGGCGCTGCTGGCGCTTGGGTCAGCTAGCAGCGCTGTGAACAAGCTGGTGCCACATTCGGTGAGTGGAGGCCAGGTGGTGGCGAAGGCGCGCGCGGTAGACGCCAACTCCAGCTACAAAATCTGGTTGTCGTATGAGCTGCAGCAGTAGGCTGGCAGCCCCGGTTCCGCATGGGGTTGTGCACGGGAGAGATCAGCAAGAAGAGTACGCTGGACAAGGCGAAAGCTATGCGCCACCGCCGGCTGGTGCTGGTAAAGGACCACCGCGAGCCGTCGCTTACTGCCACGATCAACGTGTTGGTGTCACTGGCGGAGACCAGCCGGACGAGGAAGGCCTCTTTGCGGGCATTGACAGGTATCGGGTTCCGGGAGGCTGCGCTACTGGATGTCAACGTGTACTTGATCATCGCTGTCTGCGTGGTGTCCAGCCTGTTGGTGCTCAGGTTGCTACTGCACACG